GTGCATGGCCGTCCTTCTCCCATGCTCTTTGTTTGTTTTCGTTCCTTCTTAAGCCCGCCCGCAATCTCCATGAGATCTGGTGACTTATTTCTATTCATTCCGTTACACTTAAATACCGGTTGTACACTACCTCGTACTGTAGTTCGAAAATCAACTAGGGTTACCCCCTGCACTCCCTGTCTGACTCAGTTGCACCCTCTGCCCTCTGAAATATCAGGGCCGTGTCAAGTACAAGCCGCAACGCTCACAAACGAGTCGTTGAAGCCGAAACCCCGTTTCGCCGCAATTGTCATCCCCGCCCTTAATGGGCTGTTATGCCAGAGTAGCAGACCTTAACGGTCGCTGATGGCGAGTCATGGTAATGTTTTCCCATGCCCTGACAAGTGGCCCCAATGGCCTGCTGGTGCCAGGTGCAAGGTGGGATTGGGTTGCTGCCTTTGAGCGCGCATGCAATTGGACCGTGGGAAAATGAAAAAATGGTGACGTGGCAAGGAAGGGAAGGGAAATAAGAGTGTTGCATGCCTGTCTGAGGACTTAGAGCAAGGAGAGAAGGGGGGCTGCCAATTACTGCCTTCCAGGACTTCGAAGGGGTGCCAAGTCCGACCTTAAAGATGGGTGCCAGACTGGACTTGTGGGCCCAACACAAAACTTGAATGCCACACACCAGCCTTACAGTGGGCACTGGGTTGGACTTTCGAGCCCAAACAAGAATAATTGCCACACACCAGCCTTAATAGTGGGCACCAGGCTGGACTTCTGTGCCCAAAGACAAACTTGAAGAATGCCATGCACCGGCCTTAACAGTCGGTGCTGGGCTGGACTTTAGTGCCCCAAAACAATGCCGTGTAGGACTTAAAAGGATGCCTGGTGTACAGGACTTAACTAGGGGTCTGGGTGGATCAGATAGGATCGGATTGGGATCACAAATCCCGGATTGGATACCCTCCTCAATGGTCCATCCGAATCCAGCAGATGAAAATCCAGGATCATCCAGGATCATCCTGGATACGCCAGCATCTCAAGAAACCAGTTGCATTTTAACATTTATTTACAAATCCTCCTCAAATAAGAGCCATGCACGAAATTGCATCAAGGACTCAATAGTTGCCGCACCAAGAGATGCACGACACAAAGAAATAAGGTCTCGGCCCCCATTAAATGACCATTCTACCAGTATGGATCCACCTAATTGCAAATGCCACCTCTTGTGTAAGTGTTTAAATTGTAGCAAGGAAAGAACTTGTGCATACCGGGAATTGCGAGCACATCACAGGCAATAGGTGTGAGAGTTGGGTAAGAGTGACCATTGGCTTTCCACCATTCTAAGGGGCTTGTCTCCATTGGACAATGGGCAGCACGGGTGTAATGTTGCAGTTCATCTTCAGCAGTCTCCTGCTGCAATGGTGATTCGTCCCTGATGTCACCGAGGATGTCAGCATCATCAAAAAAACTTGATGGTTCCCTGTTAACACAAGTGTTGGACAAGAGTATGGTTTCCCCAGATGCAGGAGGGAGGTGGAGATTCTTCATATGATTAATTAGGCTCTTGTGGCAATCTTTAAGCCATGATTCCGAAAAATAGTCACTATTTCTTGGGTTCTTAAACATTCGGTTGTTGAAGCGTGGGTCAAGGACTAGGAGAATTTATTTAGTTAGACATAAGAAGACATACATGGAATACTTACTTGTTGAAAAGAGTAGTATTCTGACTCAGCCGTTGATTTGTCATAAAATTTGTTTAACTTCGCCTCACTTGCATCCAATCCAGCCTGAAGGTATGGATTATCAAGGTGTCTGAACTCATTTCTTGCATCATTTACTGCCTTTATAAGCTTTAAGAACGTAAATAAGCTGTAGCTCAAGGTTGGATATTTTGAACTGGATAGAATTGTGGATGCATCACGAAATTTCTATTCACCACAAGAAAATACATCAAAATTGTGATAAAGATTGACCAGATCCTGACAAACATACCTGAAGCAGTTTACTCAGCTTGTGGAGGAGGGCCCACTCAGATATGCAGAGACGGAACTGAGCATATGCAGTGGTGTGCTCAGACAAGTAATCAAACACCTTCAAAATCTTAAGATATCAAGGAATATGGCTAGAATGAATAGCGGCCTCACCTCATGGAGTTCATATGCACACTCAAACATGAAGTATGTGCTATTCCATCTGGTCGGCACGTCAAGGATGGGAAACTTGTCGGCAATTTCAGGTCCGGAGCGATCTAAACTAGCATTCACAGCCCTGATGGTAGATTTCCAGAGTTCCCAGCGCTGTGGAGATGCATGGACATATTTCCCAGCAGCTCGTATCTATAAGTTTTGGGAGAGTGACGGGGAGTGAGCTACAATATTATTCTCATTGATCACATGATGCTCACTTGCTTTATTGCTGATGCCACACTGGCACCATCCATCTCCAAGTCACTATCCCCAACTCCATCTTCAGGTTTCCCTTCTAGTTCTCCTCCAGTACCCACTAGGCTCTCTGCCAGTTCCTCTGAAAGATCTACTGCCACATCAACATCTCCGGCTTTGACATTCTCGTGCCTCACTGCATGCACATGCACAAGAACCTCCATAGCAGCCAAATGAATGATATGGGCAAGGCAACGAACAGTTGACCGGTCTTTATCAAGGTCTGAGAGTGGATTAGCCTTGCTTAATCGCCGGATTAGGTGGTCCATCATTGGTTGGATGCATTATCACTCGTCACAGAGATGAACTGTAAGGGTCATTTGTGAAGCTGAAGACCAGGGCATCAAACTAACTCACCTTCCTCTCTAAATTTAGCTCTTTTAAGATTTCGTGAATAGCCTGTGCCAAATTCTCCCCAGTATGTGGCCCCTTCAGTTCTTTGAAACCCAGCACAATCTCACACAGATTCCATGCAGAGTCAATGAACATCCCAGCTACTGATATGAAGGCAATCTGATTCCCAGATGTCCAGGCATCACAGGATAAAGCCACCTTCCCAGGAAGATTCTGTGTTGAAGCCCATATGTCAGTTTCCAACATCACTGCCAGTGTGTAAACCAAACTTTCCTCTACATATTTCCGCAATTTCTTCCTTGCTGATGCTGCCTCCTTCATGGTCTTCTCCCTTAGTTGATCACTCTTTACTAGTGAGTGCTCAAGGTGTGGCTGCAGGTACGAAAGCATATGACAGAAGTGTTTGTTTTCTATTTCAGTAAATGGCTGGTAAGAGGAGACTATCCACTTTATGATGTGCTGATACATTTCATCCACATTGAACCTCTAGAAGATAAGTAAGTTATTATAAGTCACCTACTGGGATTAACACTCACAGATGCATCTAAGGTAATTTGGCCCTGGGTAGCGGTAGTTTTGATTTCCCCCCTTGCGACCCCATCAATTTCTAGAGACTTCCACCAGATAGCCTGATGGGAAGCAGCAAAATGGTTATCAAAATTCCCTGTGCTTCGACCATACCCCTTCTGCGTCCATGCCCACGCTTTTTTGAATGAACTAAGCGCATTACAGAATGCGCAAGCAAGTTCACACTTAATTAATTTCCCATCTTCATTATACTCTTCACTACATTTCTGAACCTGTAGGAAGGTCCAGGTGAGAGATTTTGACAATGCAAATGCTTTGTGGTCTGCAGCACAATCTTGACCAGGTCGGTACTGCATTTGAAGCCGGTGATCAGTGTCATCAGTCCTCAAGCTGGGTGTGATGAGTTGGATGTCAGGATCAGTAGCGGTTGGTGGGGCAGTGGATTGGCTAGGTGTATTTGGGGCTGGTGCATTTGTCTCCATGTGGTCAGAAGTGTTTCTGGGCATGATGTCCCGAGTGCACTTATTCCACATTTGTTGGCCTGTACCCTGTGAACTTCCATCATCTGGTAGTATACACTTCCTTGGAATGCATTTTTCAGTTGTGATCAATGATGGGTTGGGCATGTCACGAGGTGTCAGCATATCTAGCCTGATTTGAAGGTAACAATAACCCCAGAAACTTCCAGAACTATATAGGTAGCATACACATGGTGTGTTGTATAATATTTGGAGCGTGGAATAACAATAAATAAAAGCACGTATACAGTGTACATCCACAGTTTGAGGCCTATGGCCTTGTGGTCTTACACTGAGACTTATCCAGGATCATCCAGGATAGCAATCCCGGATCAAAAATACACGCTGACCCCCAATCCTAATCCGGCATCCAGGATCAAAAATTCAGGATCATCCTGGATAATCCCATCCACCCGGACCCCTAGACTTAACAGATGCCACATAGGACTTAAGATACAGGGGATTGCCCCTGCCTCTGCTGAGGACTTATGAAGGTGGTCAACTGCACTTTGACCAACTGCTGTGAGAGTCAGGTGGACTTCCTTGATACCTAAGCTTGTCCAGGCAAGCCGCCTGGGCTCATAACCTATAGAGAAAACCAAGTTGAGGGCAGCTGGACGAGAATATGGTGGACTCTTAATTAGGAAAGTGTTACCACAAAACAATAGTAAATACATGCTTCGAGGTTGTTCCTCCAACAGTGTGCCCTGACACTTACACACTACCATTTTATACACATCTTTGAATCACTTACGGTTCTGGTGTGCTGAGCTACCCCTGAGACCTCACAAGGACCCTGTGCATAGGGCAATTGAGTTGGCAAGAAAAACATGTAGGACCCACTATGGAGTAGCAGGAATTGAAAGTGACTATGGTGTGAGAGGGCACACCGTCTGTTTGTTAGAAACCACCTCCACCTAATGTGGGCATTTAGTGTAATGGTAACACACTCTTGGTACCTATGCAGGGTTCTGCGGTTCAACTCCCAGAATGTCCATATTTTAGCATTTAGGTTCCCAAGACCACGTGTACAAATTCCAACACTGTTAACTTGTAAACGGCATTCCAGATAAGGCAACCTGGTTCGCATTTCCAACACCATCTGACCATCAAACAATGATATTACTGGCTAATGTGCATACATTCTTCAGAAAGGCCTGAATGGATCCCTGACGTGCTATACATCCAAGTATGCAAAAATTTCTCCTAGAACCAAAAATTGGAAGCAATTTGCCCCAAAAACACCCTTCGACGAGCAATGTCTGGCAACAACCCACGCTGCCCAATACTGGTCCAGCCGTCCATGAGCACCCTGCGCCGCATTTATTAGCATCCCGCGTGTCTCCTCACACAGCCTGGACAACCGATCCACAAGATCGGCTTGCCGATCCCTCCTGACTTTTGGGAGGCGCGAGTGGTCCAGAATAGCGCCAGCCCAACACTCCTCTTCAGATAAAGGTCGTGATGTGAGAGACATGCGATAGGAAAGGTTCCGCATGCGATAAGAAAAGTGTTGCATGGTGGGCAGGGTTTCAGCGTAAACAAGACTTTTATCAAGAATGAATCGGCATCCGTGCATTCGCAAATATAAGAAAAGCTTGCTAGATAGGGGATCTCGAAGTAGCGCGGGGGATCTCAGAGAAGTTAGGAACACATCCTTATTGCGAGATGCTCCAAGCACGCGATCAAGGTCATGGTTCCCCCTTCCACTCGTCGGGACGTCCATATATCCGAGTTCAATGGCACGGTACAGCGCACCAAGCGCGTGGGGGCTAGGATATGTGTCCTGTTCGCGACCTTGCTCCCCAATGTACCAGTCAGGCTTCAGTTGTGATCGCTCTTTAGGTAACATGGTATATTTAGCGGGAGTCCCCGACTTCTGGAAGTCGACCGCCTGACTGGCGAGCTTGGCCAAAAACAGGCAGTCAGGATCCTCAGACATTCGATCACTTTGATCGGCAATGATCAAGTTCTATGGTGAGGGAACCATTGGAATAGGGACTAGTCAGGCAAAATTAATATTACCACACACCCTCGTTGCGATTATTCCGAGAATATCATGGATTATGAAATCTGCTACGAAGTCGGCAACTTCTTCGTTCGTATCCAAGTTACATTGCCTCCCTTCGTCCAGGTGCTTCAAGACGACAGGTTCATAATCTGCAGGGTCCACAGTGCGTGGAGGGAACAATTCTGGGACTTGAATCAAAGAATATTCGTCACCATCGAGATCCTACACGAAATTACGTCAGGGTCGAAGAGAACTTAGCATCGACTTACTCCGCCTCCAAGCGACTGAGGTAGTGAGTGCGTTCCTTGAAACGAAAGGAACACAGAGGTGAGGTCGGAGGATACAGACAGGGATACAGGATAGCAAACCTTGACAGGGGAAGACCACACAGTTCGTCAGCGGTTCGTGGATGAACGGTGAGCCTGGAGGTGGGCGACCGATTGCTTTCACAATCTGGACATCTCCAGGATGTATGCATGGTGAACGAGTAATGAGCGTTCTTCCCCTGAGGTAAATCGGGTCGCATCCTTCTTCCTGGACACAAGCTAATGCATCAGGGCCACAAAGTAACCTGAACGGATTGAATCATCGAATATGGCTACAAAATCTTACCAAATATCTCGCCCTCCTTGAGATATCCATGAACATCTGCCACACCCACGAGAGTAAAACTGTTTGGAAGAAGTATTCGCGCCTGATACTTCAGGGCCCTTAGGATATCGTAAACAACACAGTCCATTGCTCGACGGAAAAAGTCGTTGACGTTGTCTCTGAAACCAAGTTTGTGAAGGCCCGATAGCACCTTTGTGACCTTCAAAGCACGGCCAAAGTTATACTTCTGAAGCAACGTATGAGCTCCAACGAGAGTCGATGCAGCTGCTTGTACGGACGAGATCGTGCCGCTCTGAAGACGCTCAAAAACATCGATTCTCACTCCGAGAGTTTCGAGAATCATGATGAGTGGCCGATTGAGGTATGCAGGTTTGGGGCGTTCAAAGGTCTGTGCAACCTCTATGGACTTAAAATCTTCGGAGATGAATTTTGTCATGGAATCACGGATTCGGATCGCAGAGCCCCGTTGAGTATAATCCACGGACAACATCCCTTTATGCCCGCCAAGTCGAATCTGGAATGCACTGTGAACATTCATCATTTGTTGACGACGCTTTACCATGCTACGGGCCTCCAACACAGAAGTGATGTTCTCGGCGGTTTCTCTGGATATCGTCCCAATCCCATCCGTGAAGTTGATGCTCCTGACTTTGCCTGTCCGGTGATCATAAAACTCGGAAGTGATATCACGAATGGATTCGATGTTCTCGGCAATTATTGTCGGATCCGTCGATGTGAAAGCTTGAGACATTCTGGCTCCCACTCGGGCAGGGCAAGTAATAATCTTATCAAAGTTCCCCAAGGTACGCCGGATTGTGGATGCAGTTACGAGTCCTAATCTTGGGTCCACAAAGTCAGCAACGAACCATACGCTGTGTTGTTTCAAAGCTGAATTTGAGTAAGCCAAGAACTTGAACTTCCGACCAGCAATTGACAGTGGGTTCTGCGCAGTGAAATTGAGCGTAGCTCGGGCGTGGCTCGACGTTGTCATACCTTTAATGTCTGGCACACAATGTCCCTGACAAGTTGGCCATGGTCCATGTCACCCCCGATTCTGAGAGGATGCTCATCCTCGTCCGTAAGGTGCACACGAATAAACGCGTCTTCATTCCCGGCATAGTTTCTCAGCACTCGGTTCGACTGATACTGCGTTAGTTATTCCAGATGCAACAGGAAGAAAGTTGACATTCACTTGTTCAGGAAATGGACCTTCAAGGACGATCCGTGTAGGCGTAACCTTCACCGATAGGCACGAAAATTGGGCGGACTGGTAGGGTAGCCTGATCCTAGCGCTCTGTTCCGCTTCTCGCACGCAACTTTCCAGAGAGTCTCGAATTTTCTCCCCAGCCTCCGGTCCAGGTTGAATCCGATCGCCGATCATACTTCTCAGGTTCATAGCCAGATACTCGAAAAATCTCTCCAGCGTGTCACCAGACATGTCTGATGTACTTTCTTTTATGAATGGACGAATGTCGCGGAGTTCCTTCGCGCTGAGCAACCAGTTATGGAGAAGTGAGGCGCAATGAAATGACGCTGGCCACGGGAACGTCGAAATCCAGCCCTCAATGTCATCGAGGCAACTGAGTTGAAAGTGATGACGCTTCGCCGGTGGCAGTTGCATGGGCACTGATTCGCAATTAATATATCTGGCCATCTCTTTAAAGCTTTTAAGGGCTGATTGAAAAGGACTTCGCAACGTTAAGATCATAGCCAAAGAGATGAACCCGACTTTGCGTCTTGGTAATCCAATCGCCGTGGCCCTCACCCTTTTGTGAACAGGGTCATCCTGCAGCATCGTGGTAACCGTTGAGAATACGGGAGGCACTTTGAATGTGATTTCGATGTATGCTGTTTCGGTGGTGGCAAGATGTCTCAAGGAATCAAGTTGCCTAAAGGGACATGATATATGGTTCAGCACGGTGCGTAGTGACAGTGATCTGAGCATCGATTCCAGCGAGTCATCTGAGGATGGGTTTTGGGCGAACTGGACCTCGATGGTCGAGTTGAGTGCATCAAAACTGAGGGAACCCTCACGACATTGAGTCTTCCATTCAATGGAATAAGTGTTATCCCGATCGATCCAGCCAAAAGCAAGAGTGTCGAAATTTATAACCGCTGCAAGTCTGTCGCGTGCCTCCTGGAGTCTTTGGAGCGGTCCAGGCCCTTCGTACGGTGTGGACTGAAGAAGGTTCAGTAGAACCTTATCCAAAGGGCGGTTGCTCCGCTGCATCCCAATCCTCGTCCCTTGAAATGGAGGCACAGTGGACTGGGCGCGAAGAAGCGCCTCCGCGACAGCGACGTCCGAGATGGTCAATATGGCCATTCTGGGACGACCTTTCCTATCCCTTGTAAAGCGTACCCTGAAGTTTACTGGTGTATCCGAGGGACGAGCAAGATATGGGGGGTTATGGAGGATGCGAGCAAAATGCTCATGTAGCTCAAATTCCGAGCCCCTGCGATTGATGGCTTTCAAAAAGATATCCATGGTTCAGAATTACTTGACGAGTGAGAGGCCAGTGGTTTGAACACGCTTAAGCTAACGAAATCTGCTCGCCTTGCACAAGCTGGCGGCGACTTAGGATAGCGACAGCGATGAAGCAGTTGGATCCTACCGGGCTAGCTTCATGTGACTTGAAAGGGGAATATGAGTATTTGGTAGGAAGCCGCGCGGCCCTAAGTTGCGATGGTTATCAATGACGCGCTGAAAAAGTCAATGTGCCGGAATAGATCGAAAGTTAGGAGTTCCGTACAACAGAGAGTGAGACAAGAAACCAACTGAATAATTTACCCGGCATGCCCTGCTGAAGGAATGTCGGAGCCATGGCCTGCGGACTTGAAACATTCGTCGCCAATAATGTAGACGGATGCCAGCGCTTGGATTCCCCAAGCTCGTTTGGGGGGTCCTATTCTGATAGACCTGCCTAATTTGAAGGAATTTCAAATCGGGGATATCAAGCGCTCAGTATTCGTTGGGGTTATCGTTTGATCCATACAGGATTCCCTCATTAGAAACTGCATCGCTGCTCCGTAACGACTCGCAACTTGGAAAAATCTGGAGAACCCTAACCGTCTTTTGCGTCGTGTCAGTAGCGTCTTGCAAAAGAATTTGATCAAGTGTAAACCCAACTGTACCAAGCGACAATCAAGCAAGAAGATGAAAAACAGGTAACCAAGACTCTTCCTGGATTCTCCACATAGTGAGAGAAAAGGGGAAGACTAAAACTCAGCGACATCGACCACAGAAAAAGGAGACTCCACGAAAAAGTATATTTTTTTCACAAAGCTTGCCGCCCATGTCATCGCACGCGGTAAGTGGACCATCATACGGGAAAGGGTTGCCTTTAGTTCATTTTACGATGGATGCATAACAGCTGAGAGCCAATAATCGAAAAGCAACGAGAAGCTATTCGGTTAGCCAAACCGACTTATGTGAGAGGTCACTATCATTGTCAAGAGATTACCAAAGTTTTATATTTTGGAGTTGAGTGATGGCCTCAGCCGCCGTCAAAACCAACAGCGCAGCCGATTTTAATGGATATATCGGGCACAACTCATCTAATTGATGATTTAGGCGAAAAATAAGTGCCCATCATCCTGTCCCAGTGGCACCGCCAAAAATGGAGATTAGGCTCTTCAATTCCCACATACCCATCACAATTATGTAATGGGAAAACACCTCAAACCTGCGGCCAAGGACCTTATTGTTACAAGTTGAGCACGCAGGATTTCTCGGCAGTGCCTGTACGCACGAAGGCACGCCTTAGACGCGTGGCCGACCAATGTATTATGTCTACATGTGTCATTACATTACTCTAATGCACTGCTGAAGTTCCTAGATAGTCTGATTGATGTGAAACCTGAGCTGCAGGACACTGGCAATGAAGAGATTCATATTCAAACCAGAATGCGCAACTCTCCGTGAAATGAAGCGCCGTGGCCCATATGATACGTGCCTGTTGGATGGTACACGTACGGTTGCCGAGCAGGGCCAGGTCTAAGTTTGCATCCGACTCAAGCGCCGCGCGTCACGACCTCATCGCTGCGCGTCTATACATAAGTCAATTTGCGTTTTAACGGCTCCAGCGCTGTTGTGGACATACTAGGCACCACACCAACACTTTTTCTCGCTTTTTCCGAGCGAAATTCATGCCTTACATACCTGCGCTTTGAACTCACCGCTACGCGTCTCTACATAAGTTAACTGCGTTTTAAGCGACTCTGGCGCTGTTGTGGACATACTAGGCACCACAATCACTTTTTTCGGCTTCTCTTCTCTGGTTAAAATTTGGACATTCTTGGAGTCTCTTTGGTCCGCAAACCGCTGATTGATCAAGCTATGTGTCACATAGGTTATGTATTACATAGTTTTGTATGTATACTGGTAACATCCCTGACTACTATCACCCACTTACGGTTGCCCAGCAGGCCAGGTTGAACGTTAACGTTCGCATCATGGCCACAAGTCACGTGATTTTTATTTTTATTTATTTCATTTTTCTGTTGAGCTCACCGCTACGCGTGTTTACACTGCTACAAACACCACATCAGACTCGTACCCAGTTGTTTTCACTCTGTAGACGTGCGCGCGACACTGCAATGTGGAAATGCGACTAAGTAGTTTTGTATTCAATGTAAAGTCACGTTCTGCTTTCAATACAAAGAGTCACATGCTACCCCGAAAATTTGTGCAGACATGGGGAACCTCATGTGTTCCAGAATTGTTTTCTGAGAGGATCGCGTCGAATTTGGCAAATGCGTAAGTGGACTGCCACTGCTAAGGTGTGAGGTGTTGCCGCGCGGAGTAGCATGTGACTCTTTGTATTGAAAGCAGAACGTGACTTTACATTGAATACAAAACTACTTAGTCGCATTTCCACATTGCAGTGTCGCGCGCACGTCCACAGAGTGAAAACAACTGGGTACGAGTCTGATGTGGTGTTTGTAGCAGTGTAAACACGCGTAACGGTGAGCTCAACAGAAAAATGAAATTAAAAAAAAAAAAATCACGTGACTTGTGGCCATGATGCGAACGTTAACGTTCAACCTGGCCTGCTGGGCAACCGTAAGTGGGTGATAGTAGTCAGGGATGTTACCAGTATACATACAAAACTATGTAATACATAACCTATGTGACACATAGCTTGATCAATCAGCGGTTTGCGGACCAAAGAGACTCCAAGAATGTCCAAATTTTAACCAGAGAAGAGAAGCCAAAAAAAAGTGATTGTGTGGTGCCTAGTATGTCCACAACAGCGCCAGAGTCGCTTAAAATGCAGTTAACTTATGTAGAGACGCGTAGCGGTGAGTTCAAAGCGCAGGTATGTAAGGCATGAATTTCGCTCGGAAAAAGCGAGAAAAAGTGTTGGTGTGGTGCCTAGTATGTCCACAACAGCGCTGGAGCCATTAAAACGCAAATTGACTTATGTATAGACGCGTAGCGATGAGGTCGTGACGCGCGGCGCTTGAGTCGGATGCAAACTTAGACCTGGCCCTGCTCGGCAACCGTATACACGTGAAATAGGGGGTACCGTATAAGGCAATCCGCTACCTCAGCAGCAACACTCGCGAGATCAGATGTAAGCTTAGGCAAAAACTGATGATTTTGTGAACGTTTGTCTGTGCGTATTTACAAAGTGCGCACACAGAGCGCTAAAATTTCTGACGTAATATACTATTGACCCTGATTCCCTACCATTTTTAGACAGTCACGAGACCCACCGCGCGCTTGACGGCGAAATGATGATGCTCCGTCCGTCACATTCATTTTACGAATAGTGTCGTCCCCAATTGCAAGTCTTCGATCTCCCACACAGCAATATTATTAGCTGACGCAGCTTCCTTACTACTGCACGCTGCACGGCAGTATATATGCCGCTTGGCACCTATGTCTGACCCTTTTTGATAGCACGCACTGGTATAGAGGTTCGACCCTCACCGTCCGTTGTGGGGCTTAGCCTTACTTATATCTCATCCTTAGATGTCTGAAACGACTTCAATCCCTTCAAGCCACCGCGTCGTATCGTCACTGGCCATACTCCCGATGGGAAGAGCACCACCATTTTCGATGGGGAAGTTTCCAGTGCCCCCAACGTTGGCACGAGATTCTGGGTCACTAAAGGATGGCCAACAGATAATTCAGGAGATAAGTGAGTATCTATGCGCTGATCGTTTTCGGAAATTTGTTGACAAATTTCGATCACCTCCCATTCTCAGCAAAGACTTGAGAGATGAAAGTCCGGATCGTGCTGGTATCTTCCAGACTAATGGGACAAATTTTCTTGCCCAGGACGTCCCCCCGGGTGCCGTCGTTCCAATGGTAGGAGCCGAAGTCTCGCTGCACTCCCAAGATTGTTCGTCGAAACGTTTCTGAACAGCACCGAACGAGTACTCTTGACTATGGTATTCTGAGTAAGTCAGCCACTACGGGTTGGATCTCAACCATCACACAAAAGATTTCCTCAATTGACTCTGGCTTGCTGCAGTATCAGGAGAACTGACGCTGGTTCTTGAGGATGGTCCTCCCCTAACATTGTCTGAACCGGGAACTGTCTTTGTCCAAAGAGGGACCGCACACCAGTGGGAGAATCGTGGTCCTGACTGGGTCAGAGTCATCTTCGTCATCCTCGATGCTAAACCTTTCGCCTACACGAATGCAGATGGAGCGCAGGTGACGCTGGAGGAGTACCACTCGTGGTCGAAAGCCCCTACTTAACGTATATGTAGATCACTCTTTTGTAACACACATCGATACTGCAAATACTTGTTATGTGACGTTCACGAATTCGATCTTGTTCTCATGGTGGCAAAGCGGTTGACTAGGTTAATCCCATCTGTAACTTATATGGACAAGGGCGGTAGGCATGCAGATGCTCCGTTATATTATCAAACACATACCGATATTTTCATGGAGGCCAACGTGATAAGTAGCCTGTGATGCCTCTTGACATCGTATAAATCGTGCCGTCTCCGATGGTTTTCAATTCCTCATACAACAACACCTGACGCAACACCCTGCTGCACGCTGCACGGCACGGCAGAATACCGGTTGACACCTACGCTTTCCAACAGAACGCATTGCACTAGTGATCAGATATTCGTGTTATCGTAGCTCATTGGCTTCGGATCGCTTCCATGGTCTGGTTGAAAACGCGCGCTACCGCTCGTTCTCAGAGCTAGCTGCGTACACGAGTGTATCGTGCAAGCACGATCAACCGACCCGGCCTGTCCGTGCCAACTCCCAGCCCCATCTTGTCTTCAAGATGTCTGAAACGACTTTCGTACCACCCATTCCCTTTGGGCCAACGCGCCGTATCGCGTCATTTTCGATGGCGAAGTTCTCATAGCTTCCAACGCTCGCACAAGGTTCTGGGTCATTAGGGGATGTCCAACAGATAATTCTGGCGATGCGTAGTTATCCACCAACTGTTGTTCTTGGAAATTCATTGGCAAACTTAGATAATCTGCGATCCCTCAGCAAAGACAGGAAAGATGAAATTGCGGATCGTTCTGGTCTTTTCCAGACTAATTCATTATCGGTGATGTTGCCCCAGGCACCGTCATTCCGATGGGCCAAAGTCTCGCTGCTCCCCTAGGATTGACCACCGAACGAGTACTCTGGGCCATGACAATATTCTAAGTGGTTGAATTCCGGCCATATCGCGAAAGTTGACACTGGCGTGCTGCAGTGTCGGGAGAACTAGCGCCGTCCTTGAGGATGGACCTCCCCTAACAATTACTGAACCGGGAACCGTCTTCGTCCAAAGAGGAAGCGCGAACCAGTGGGAGAATCGTGGTTCTGCTGGGTCAGAATCATCCTCGATGCTAGTCGCCTGCACGGATGCCAATGATACAGGTGGCGCTAGATGAGTACATACTGGGAGCGAAATGGTGCTTAAAGCGTGTTTGGGAATTCTTTTGTTATTTGCATCAATTCTACGAATGCCCGTATATTTGCAGTTTACTAACGAATTCTTGTTCTGATGGTGGCAAAATAATCGACCACATGGAACATGGCACCGACAGGCTAATTCCATTCGTAAGTGAAGCCCAAGGCGTTGTGATCAGCTGCTATCGAGAGCTGTGATGAGTTTTCCCACCAAGCAACAACAAAGAATCGGCAGGGCATCATTATATCAGGTGAACATACCCTATGTAGCAGTGGGGTTGGAGTTTAGGTGTGCGCATGAAGCAAGGACATGATTGTAAGGTTCGTTGAGGGCAGTACCCTATCATAGCGGAGATGCAGCCCAATATGCGCAGGTAGACTGGGCATGGGAGCGCAGTGGGCGATACGCTGAAAAACGAACATAAGTCCACCGTAACTATGGCATGTTCGCAAAAATAGCGGCGGACAAATATACCAGTCGGAGGTTAATATAATGGTTATCGAATGACACGACTTGAGGGAGCGCAAGAATATCAAAGGCACATGGCCCGACAGTCTCCTCACTGTCCACAATTCTGTAAAACACTTCCTGCATGTAGATGTACGCTTTGCGGATTGCCATCCCAGACGAAATTCTCCCCTCTGGAACTGCTGCAGAATGTATTGAGCATAGCGTCCGTGCTGCCATACATATGCATGTATATCTATCAGCACTCGAATCCTAGCAGGCAGGGTATCAACCGCCCGCGTGCGGGCAAGTGGGGCACATCGCATGCAATGGCTTCAGTCATCTACGAGGGTGCTGCATTGCGAACTAACTATATCGGGAACGTTTGGCCCACAAGCCGCACGTACAGCCTTTCGACTGACGTGGTGTTGGCAGCGTGGGCGAAAGTAGTTCGCGTCCTTTGCCTTTTTCAGTAGACGTGGACGCACGAGCCGTCTGAGTGCCAGTAGCTGAATATATTCGAAGCGAAGGATCTTATTGAGAGCGTCGTCCGGCATCGCTAAGATATCTGACAATGAGAAAGATTTCTCACTGAATCGGGGATATGGGTCAGGGGAGTTCTGAGGGGGCACGGGAATAATGGGGCGTTCTGGGTTATCTTGCCCCGTTGGACGAAGGTCGTCTTCGCTGGCTATCGACATATCTGCCTCTTCGTCTGAGAGGTAGTCTCCGAACGTTCTGTCACTAGAGGTTCCATCCGCGCTGCGGTCATTCGCGCTGCAGGTATTGACGGGGCTAGTCCCCGGAGCTGCAAGTTCTGTGCTCTTAACGACGGGGTCGATCCCCGGAGCTGCAGGTTCTTACTGGATCTATCTCGTGTCCGTCGTTCTCGTTGGCTTCTCTGGCACCTAGCTCGACTTCTAGTGTCGTCGCTAGCGTGTCCTGTTCGTTCTGTATCTCGGGAGAGATCTCGGCAGCTTCTGCCAACAGGCTCCCGTTGTGCACGGAAAATTCGTTAGTAACTGTTCCCAATGTGTCGACTGAGAGAGATCGGCCACGTCGGCTTACCAAAGGCACGTAGCCACGACCGCTCCTGAGTCTCATCATATTGTTGCAACTAGGAGGTAAAGCTGAGGTGGCCGGCCTTAAGCTGGGAATTCGAGAGAGGGTGTGTTCGGGTTGTTCGATGTAGATCGAGGTTGTTAGGTAGTGAAGGAACTTGAATCGGCAAAGGCCGACGAGATCAGCTAAATAGATCACTGGACCAAAAAGACTCGATTTACTTGGCAGGCAGCATGCGCGCGACGCGTGACCCGTGCTCAATACATACAAAGACGGAGACAAAACTAAGGATAAGAGTAAAATTGACACATAAAAAACAAACACAAAAGCTAATGTACAAAAATAAAAAATAATGGCGAAAAGAAGTTATAGATAATGTAAAATATACAAACAGAAAGGAGTGGCGGGGAGGAGGGAGACAGGGCTGAGTGCTGAGGCAAAGGAAAACCGCGGGCGAAAACCGCGGAAAGGTCTTGGCAGCAGCAAGTCCGGGGGAGGGCAGTGTGTAGGTAGCAGCAGTGGCAGCGGGTTAAAGGAGTAAGCCCGGAAAAAGCAAGCGGCAAGTTGGATCTCACTCACCGAGGGAGCGCGAGATACCAGGCGATGGGGAGAGGAGAAAGGGGAGCCGTTAGGGCCCCTTTTTATAAGCACGGCCTAGGCAATATGAGTCCTCTCCCCAACAGCGAAAGTTCAGTACGTACCTCCACTGAATGGTCCGCTTCGCGCGTCTGCGCCGAAACATTCAGAATACGTCCGAGGCAGCGTCCCTTGACCCATTCAGGCTAAGTTGCGCAAGAAATCACGAGGGATCCGTGATTAGTAAGGGGAGGCATGTGAATGCCAAAGCGGTCCCGACAGGCAACCAGGTTTCACAGCTAGTCGCTATTGTCGGCATCGCCCGACTTGAAGAGTTGCTACGTACAAACGCGGCAACAAAACAACAACACAACCTTGCTAAATGCCTTCCAAGAAGCGAAAGATATCTGACCTTGCCGATGATGGAAATGAGCTCTTACTTGCACTCAACGAGTTCCAAACGGCCCTAGACGAAGACGATGAAGACCTTCCATCTGGTCTCATCACTACTTTAGAGGAATTCCGCACGAAGCTTGAAACTGTTAAGGCGTGCACAGATCTATTTGAAACTTGCTGATGCCCGAACAGCACGTTTCTTTCTCTAAAGTTGACTCCTTCGTATTGCCGCAAGTCAACATCAAGTCAGGCCCCCTATTCCTGGTTTCAGAGAAGAAGGCTTTAGCCGAAGAACAGGGATCGACAGAAATTGGGGGCAAGGCACTTTCAATGGAGGTTTTGAAAGAGCTGATAGAGTTGGTTCGAAAGCATGTGTCTGTCGTGGTAAGTAAGATGTACTGTGTTTTTCTATTTAACTCATTGCAGGCATTTGCTAGACTGAGGCCGGGTGCCGAGTTCTGATAAATCTCATATTACTCCGTGTTGCCTCCGCCATGTCTACTGACCAGATGGATGTCAACATCATACCCGAATATCCTATTCCTAAGACCTTGTTTCCTGGCAATCGCTCCTTCGGCGGTGTGGTAGACTTCCTCATCACCAAACTGCCTGGTCGATATACCCGTAGGAAGATACGATGGTCCTTCCGTGCTAAATTTTGACTTCTGTTGTGCAGGTTATTTGCTTGGAAATCCAACGATTGCCCTTGGAAACCCAACCGCGATCAAGGAACCCATGACCTCAGACATATTTGAGGCGAAGCGTGACAACGTGAAAGCAGCCATTCCTCAAGCCATCATGGCCGCTGCATCTCATTGTAAACAACATAGGTGCGAGAAAGTATTCTCATTCCATACTATCCTCACACCATTACTCAGCCTATCAGTACTCAGAGGATGTGTAAGTAGTGGAGAACAGTGGATATTTTTTGTGTACAACGCTGCAAGTGGTGGCGGAGGCTCCGTCTTCTATTCAGAGGAATATGAAATTGGACCACAATACGAGGGCTTACCACTCATCCTCGGTCTCCTCCATGACTGGGTTAGTTTCAATCTAATTCCTTGTATCGATATTTAAAACCTTCCTCCAGGTTGGCAACACTACTAATACTCAGCAAGTTTACTTTACATTTGAGTGACAGGGAATCCTGTGTGCTGTAAACAGATTTCTTGGCAGCGTTCTCAAGCTTACCCACTGAACTATGTTTGTACATAAATAACAATGGGCTCCTGGGCAACTTGGTTGCACCAACACTATCCTACATAGGAATGTGCACTTATGTCAGAGACTGGATTATTGTCGGAGTCGGAGGTGATGCAGAGGTCTGTTGGAGCGCGCATGCGCGGATATGCGGGCGGAAATATGCGGCACGTCCGGAAGCGCTGTTCAAGGTTAGCAGAGTGGGATTGTGGCCTCAGCGACTCAGGTGGAGCGCTGTGCCCTGAGCTTGACGTTTGGGGGAGATCCTGTATTTACAAACTGACCTTACAGCGGACTTCAAACAAAACTTGCAGGCGGAGCGGACCTGTAGGAGGAGCACGGACTCCGCGAGCACGGACTCAGAGGGGGAAGGCCCCCTTTGCAGAAGGAGGGACTCAGACCAGACAGGGGGGGTACTCTAGTTGATTTCAGACTAAGGTCCCTGAAAGTATTTACAGGATATAAATAGGCAGGAGGGAAACACAGAAGGACCGGTCAGTCCAGTGCAGTCCAGCGCGGAAATAAGCAGGGATTGTCAACTGAATGAAGGACAAGAGCCCGGGAAATGGAAGGCAATGAACTAAACAAAAGTGGATCAAGTGCCAATATTGACAGGTAATAAGAAGTGCATCAGCACATGGATCAAGTGCCAATATTGGCAAGTTAAGCGAATGAATGGTATGCTGCCAAGTGACAAGATGGCCAGAGAAAAGTGGAGGTCAGCGTGCGGCACTGTCATATCCCGGAATCCCAACCCTGCGCACTCCCACCACACCACACCTTCCTAACAACTTCACCATCCCCTACACCATGCCTCCCCACTCCCCAAGTCACCTTCCCTCCTGACTGTCTCAGCTCCGGTCTGGTTGCAGCACACCGAACCTTGGCCACTCCCATCCCAGAAGCTCGGTCCTGAGTCAGAACATTCGGAGACCCTGGATTTGCTCCGATATCCCAACGGACCTCCGATATCCCGTGACATGCCCTTAAACCATTCCTCCACCCATTTCATTTATTGGAGTCACCTAACATCCTTCGGATACGCAACTCCGCTTTCGGAGCTACCCGCATCCTTCGGTGATCTCCCTCACGTTATCACTTATTAGTCACCTTCCATTCTTAGCACGACTACCTCCTTACTACCATTCAGTCGGCTAACCCCCTTTACCCATTTGTCTTCCCCATTCATTTTCCGGCCTCCAACTCCGCCCTCCTTGGCCCGACACCTCGGTTCCCCATCTTAAATATCGTTCAGGACCTTTCAGTACCTCTCAGTATCATTCGGCACCTTTCAGTGTTGTCCCATTTGTCATTTCGGACTTTGACTAAGTCCTCCCCATTCTCCTTTATAAATACCCATATATTAGAACCTGTAGTTCCTCAGTTCTAATCTCGACTAAAATGCCACCCAAAGTCCCTCTGAGTGATTCCCGTTCCTGTTCTACAAGACACCTCAGACATAAGAAATACAAGGACTAACTGAGACGTAACGGAGGCACAGCGCTCCCTCCGAGTCACTGAGGCCACGTCCTTCTTAGAGCCTCTTGTACCATCCAGCAGAACCAGGCTCCCTGAGAAGCTTCGGTTCACTACTGGAGCCCTTGGACCCCCTCTAGTTGAGCCCCGCCTGCATTCGGACTCACGCATTTACCCCCCCTTCCAACCCGGGTTTTTGACAGCCGATACAAGTCCGCAAATAAGCGGGGTCGGTGCGGTGCCGACACAAGTCCATGAAGGGACATGGAAATCAGTGCGGTGCTGACAAGTCCGCAACAGAGGGTTGTTACAAAAATGGGGCCGGAGGCACCCATTTTCGTCCGTCCTTAGCGCAGGAAGAGGGAAAGGTTGGGAAATGGGGTTCATATGGTTATACAGATGTTATCACAGGCAGTTTAACATTAGTTGTAACAGATGTTAGCACAGCGGGTTTTTTGGTAATTGTTGATTGGTTAAACTCAATTACTATACAAATCATGTGATACAGAACCCATAAGAGTCTAAAATGGGAAATTCCCATTTCCATAACAAGGGTGGTCCGTCAGTGCCGTCACAAACAAGGGCAGCATGATGGCCAGCAAGGTCGGAGGGGAGTGTTGGCCTGACCACAGGGTGTGGAGGGCAACCAGGAGTGGCAGAGGTCCAGAGGGTGTGGAGGTGGGCAGAGGTACAGATGCAGGTGGAGGTCCAGATGTGGGCAGAAGTCCGGATGCGGGTGGAGGTCTGGATGCAGTGCATGGTTGATAGGGCAGGGGGCCAGACATTGGATTGGGGCTGGTTAGATTGGGTTTCAGGTCGGTGGATTTGCCTATCGGCATTGATTTGCCGCTGACAGAGCCCCAGGATTTGTCGGTCATGACAACTTATTCCCTTGCCATATGATATGTATACTGGCTAATGCAGGCAGTGAGATGAGAAATGGATGGGATGTCGGACATCAAGGTAGAGGAAACAATGAAGAAATCTAACATATAAATAATGGTTTCTGTCTTTGTCAGGGCACACCTGCCCCACCTGGCTCCACCTGGCTCCACCCAGCTCCACTCCACCCGCTACCCCCTTCTCCCTCCTTCCTATTTCCTCCTCCTTCCACTTCCCCCTCTTTCCATTCTTCCTCTGTATCATTCTTTATTCTTTCTATTTCTATTTACACAGACGACTTTCCTTTGATTGATGTACTATTGACCCATCCACAATCCATGCATGACACACCCAGCCCTGGGTGCCCTGGCCAACCCCCGGTGCACCCAGCATGCGCGCCCACAGTGGATCTCTCCAGGATCCCCCATGGGGATACCCGGATGGCTGGGGCTGTGCATGAGGACAACGTGGCAACCCCCGTGGGACCCAAGCGCCATGTATATAAACATACCTGA